TTTTAACCGCTACCAGAAGCAATACAGCCACCTGGATCTGGTCCTCTTGGTTGTTCTAAATGTACAGAAATGAACACCTCTCCCACAGACTAGGATCATCCCCTGCAGGGCACGCATCTAACATAGTCCCTTGGAATAAAACTCCTTCCAAACACAGTATATTTCACATGCTGTACATTCCCACCGAGGGTGGGGCACTTTGTATTCTGGATTGTTCATACTCTGCAGTGAACCCAGTGCGCGCGGCATGTCTACACAAGGAGGACGACTTGTCCCTTCACCTGAACAGCGGGGTGTCTAGAAATCCTAACGTTTGCAAAATGAATCAAATGCTTTAAAGTTGGAATCCGATTTTCATTTACAATCTGCTCGTTCTTTCCGGTCTTCTCATTTGATGGTTTTAAATTGCTCACGTGGGCATGGTCGTACTTTTGTCTTCAATTAGAATTGCCTAACTGTTTGAAAAATCCTTCCATGTCCAATCTGAAATGCTACAAAGAGATTCCACATTAAAAATGCACGTTTTGCACACTGAAAAGAAGTCCAGTCCGAAGGCGTTGTTAATGTCTTTTGTTGGGAGAACAATACAAACGGGAACACAAAATAGAAAAGCAATTGAGCTGTGCTGTTTTGGCAAACAGCCCCGCCCTCTGGTCCCTTGCATATCCAGCACTCAAGAAAACCAAAAGGCTTTGGCTAGACCGTGCTCTTCCTTCTGGGGTTGCCGCTGATGGCCATTTCCTGAACAAAGTTTTCCAAGAGGAGAAAACCACGTGTTCTCACAAAGTGTTTGGAAAGCATGTGTCTCTGAGCATGGCTGGGAGGTGTGATGTTCAGAGCAAACCTATTCTACTAGCCGATAGCCTGTCATAAGATGGGATTTTCGGGTCTTTCCTCCATGTCTGTGTCTCTCTCGCGCTCTCTCTTCTCCTCCTCTTACTGCGTCCCTCTCTCGCTCTCTCAGCTCTCCTTCGCCTCCTGCCTCTCTCTCTCCATCTCTCTCTTTCTCTTCTCCTCCCCCTCCTGCCTTTCACTCGGGGGACCACAGAGCCCAAACGGGAACAAGCGGCCATTTGGGCTCCATGCTCCCCGTGCTGCATGGGGAGCGCGGAGCCCAAACGGTCGCTTGTGCCACTTGCTCCTGCGTGGCGGCCCGGCTGAGCAGCGCAGCAGTCAGCTGAGCGCCACGCCGGGAGGCGAAGGGGGGCGCAGGGCAGTGACGTGCGGTGTGACAGTGGCTCCGGGCCCCGCCCCCTGGCTGTGAACGTCACCGCCCCGCCCCCCTTCACCTCCCACCGTGGCGCTCAGCTGACTTCCGTGCCACTCAGCTGGGCCGCCACGCGGGAGCCAGCGGCGCGAGCGGCTGTTTGGGTCCCACGCTCCCCATGCAGCACAGGGATGCTGCATGGGGACCACGGCACCCAAACGGCCACTTGAGCCGCGGGCTCCCCCGCAGCGGCCCGGCTGAGGGGCACAGAAGTCAGCCGAGCGCCACGGCGGGACACAACAGCGCCACCCAGAGGGAACAGCCAGCATTTCAGCGTTACAGAGTCACAGACACTGGGCTACTGTATATATGATGTGGGGATGTGAGCATGTACATGGTTAACAGATGAACCTGGGCTCGTCGGTTAATGTACACACACACACAACCCCCCCCCCATGTTGCTGCCTCTGTATCAGAGGCTGCAGTGCGTGGGCAGGGGGGAGGAGCCAGTACACCCGGGGAGCCAGCTTTTATACCAGCTCCTGTGGAGCTGCCCCTCCCCTGCACTGCTGCAGGTGCCTCCCCCCGCATGCAAATGTGCAGGGCTCGACAAATAATACAATCTACTCGCCCATGGCGAGCCGGAAGAGCCGGGTTCGGGCGATTTGCGCATGCACAGATTGCCGGACAGCGCAGCAAATGTGTAACCGCTGAAATGTTAATACCTGAGCCACATTTTCGGCGGTTACATGTTTACCTAAATAAAGGCATTTTAACATCCCTAATTGTGTATGCCTTGGCGGAGTGGCCATGTTAGTCTGCACCTTGAAAAACAAGCAGGCCTGCGGCACCTTAGAGATTAACACATTTATTAGGCCACGATCTCTTGTGGGTAACACCCACTCCGTCGAATGAGTACGCGACGGGGGGACTGTGTGCGTGCGACACATTTGACTTTTCCAGTGACCCCAGTTGTTAGTGATGCAGTCAGACCATGTGAGGACGTTCAGCGACGTGCGGTGGATCTTGTGATGGACAATGCAGCCAACGAGGCTAAGAGAAGGGGAGCCTGGCAGGAAAACGATGGCCTTGGTGAGAAAAGTTGGGCTGTTCTGCACATGCTGCCTGGTAGAAGACTTGGAAGGAAAGACCGGCAAGGGCCACGTTGCTGAAGGCCAGCCTGGTCCTGCGATACGATGCACGAGTCTGGATCAGCAAGGTGCTCCATGGGCATTTGTAGGGCTCCGGGGTTTAGCCACGTGGCTTCAGGGCCTGTGTGAGGAGTTCTTTCACAACAGCCACTTTGCAGAGACCAGCGTCGAGGTGGCCACGTATCTGTGGTGTCTCAAGAAGAAAAGCAGAACCTGCATTTGCAGCCTGCCCAGACGCTTGATCCAGGACGGCCCAAATCCATGGAAATCGGTGACGAGCAGAGACGGGAGAGAGTCTCTGTTCGAGGAGTATCTACCTGCTTTCCCACCAGGTCACGTTCCAGCTTCTGAACGCTCCCACACGTGCCCGCTGCCCCTGGCAGCTTGGGACTCAACGCTTGCTCTCGAGTACACAGAAGAGGCTTACACCAGTGAGTTCCATCTACCGTATTTCAACCTCAGGCCACGCCTACTCTTCAGAAAGTCACGTTTTCCAGTGAAACCCTGAAAACCGTCCCAGCTGCTCCCTGGTAACAGTCTCCAGGAAATGCTCTGGGAGGAAGAAGGCCGACTCACGGAAGGAGCATCCCCCTTTTGCTGGTGCACAATGAGCATTGTGCTCCCGGATTACAAACCCCAGCGAACAGGTGCGGCTTTCATGTTGGTTTTCCTTCTCCAGCTCCTTGAAACCGCCCTGCGTGAATTTGAATTATGGGGCTCCGTGGTCTAATGGTCATGTGACTTTTGAGCGTGGATTTTAGCGGTGGCTTCAAAGGCTGCATTAGACATCCAGGCAACAACACCGTGTTTGCGAGATTACGTGCATACAAAAGTTCACCATTTAGAACTTGGATACTGTATTGAAATGCTCTCGGCAGACACTCTGCATTAACACTGAGGGAAATTTGTGGTGAGAGAGATCCAAATGGACACGAAGAGAACATTGTAGTATAATAATACAGTCCTAGGCCCCGATCCTGCAAGTACTTACACACCTGCATATCTTTAAGCACAGGACTGGAGCTAGTAGTACTAGGCGCATGAGTAAAATGAAGCATTTGAAGGCTCGGGCCATAATTTTTCAGTATTTGGTGTTTTGCTTACCTCCGTTTTGTGAGACTCCCTACTAGCTGTGACCTGGAGAAACCCAGCCTTCATCATTCAGTGCATGTTACATTTCATCAGAAACGGCGCTGGTTCCGATGTTGCCGTTGACGCTGATTTCAATCCGATTATTTAAGCGTTCAAGGCCTGCCCCTTGCTGATCAGCGGATCGTCTAAGGCGACAAACTGCAGGCAATCGGAGGATGCACACACATGGCCAAACTCTACCTGCCCGCCAGCCAGTCCGTCCCTGAGCCTTGAGGATGCTCTCACGTTCTTCCCCTGCTTTTTAGGCCCCACTCCCACAGCGCTGCAATTGCAGCCCGTCTCCAGGCTGGCCAGGAGGGTGGGGTCGAATCCCCTGCAGACCAGTCGGCACCGGGGGACGGGGGCTCTCCTCAAGGCCTCCCAAGTGCGGAGAGAATTGAACTGGTCTCTCCTCTCACGGCGCTCTGACATCCAAGCTCCTGGGCCCGGGTGGGGTTTCCAAAGTGACAGCCCTGGGCTGAACGCTGAGTCCATCTGGGTCATTGCCAGCTTGCCCCGGTCTCGGACCCTCTCGGGGCCCATTGCTTTGGAACCCCTCCGCCCTGGCCTGGGAGATCCGAGCGGGCGTAGCCTCCTGCGAGGGATGCAGGTCGCGGTGCTGCCCTGCTCTCAAGACGGCTGTCGCCATCTCCTGGCTGGGGAAGGGCCTGGGGGGAGGGGGAGTGAAGAAAGAGAGCAGAGACTCAGGAGGGACTCGGGGGAAATCCAAGAACATCAGAAGGTTTCCCCCTCGTTAACGCTGAACGTGCAGCTTCCGTGTGGGCAAGGGCTGAGGTCGGGGAGAGGGTTTAACAGCCCCTGGCTCGGGGACTAGGCAGGGGACTGGGACGTGCTTGTCTAGGCACTTGGGGACCCGGAGAGGTGAAAGGAGAGGGTGTGAGCACCGGATGCAGGGCAGGGCTGGGGTGTGGCCTGGTGGCTCCAGTATAGGCATCAAGGGGGCCAGTGCAGGATGCTCTAGGGGGTTCCATCAAGTGTCCTAGCAAGCCCTGCTTGGCTTGGCTATGGAGACAGCGGGCAGCTGCCAGGAAGCATTGGGTGGTGTGTGACTGGGGGAGGTAAGGGGGGGGGGATTGAATGTCCTGCAGGGAGGTACCAGGCAGGATCAGAGCAGCAAACTCCTGAGCCGGCCCCCCGGCACGCTGCCCCACCGCTCGGTTTGGTACGAGAAGGGGCACCTTTGGCTCTGGCACTCGCCTCCTGCTCAGCTGCAGGGGGGTTGTGTAGGTGCAGACGTGGGCGATGCTGACGGCCCTGCTGCCCGGAGCGAATGGACGGTCCCTTTGGCTGAGTGCAGGAGTCTCTAGGGAAGCGCAGGCAGCTGGCCCGGGTGGGCTGTTTCTGTGGCCGCCTGGTTCAGGGAAGGCTGAGACGAGCTCTGCCGCGCTCGGGCTTGGACGGGCCAGGGGTCCAGCGGGAGCGTTGTCAGGAGTTTGCTGCCGCCGGCGCCGCTGATGCTGTTTCTGAGCTGATTTCTTGTCTCCCATCAGCCTCGCAACGTTGCCGGGTTCCGGGGAACGGTCCGCTACGCGTCAGTGAATGCCCACAAAAACCGAGTGAGTATCTCCGTTTCTGGGGGGCTAACCGGGAAGGGCTCCCCCCTGCAGCCACCACGGGCATGTCTGGCTACCCTGCCAGAGGGCAGCAGGGTGGGGCAGCTGCCTCGGGCGGGTGGCGGGGCTCCGCTTTGCAGTGGAGCCGTGTGGCTCAGCTGAAATCCCACGAGGGGGGCGTGTGGCAGAACCGGGACTCCCGCTGGGAGCCCGAGCGGCCACACTGCAGCTTTCAGCCCTGTGTCGCAAAGCGGAGTCGATTGGCCTGGGCGCTGAGACTCGCTGCCACGGGATTTTATTGCCATGCGGACGGAGCAAGTCCGGTGCGCTTAAGCTGCAGGAAGGGTCAGCTGGTGTGAGCTGCTGTGTCAGATAACTGCAGGGGAGGGGGAGGCTCTCGACTGCATGTGGAAAACTGCAAGCTAGTCGCTGGTTTTTCCCTCGTCGCCTGCCTGCCTTTGTGCTGTTACCACATTTGCTGCTGCTACCAAGAAAAAAACCAAACAAACTCCGAGCCACGTCCCTGTACAGCTCCTGTGCACCCCGGCCCAATGCCAGGGCCCTGCCGTTTGGCGAGAAGGGTCACTCCGAACGAACCCTAGAGTTTTTCCTCTGATGAGGACGTTACTTCTGCAAAATACTGAGCCTATTTCATCCCAGTCTCCCCAGATGTCTGGTCTCCCCCCTCGCACCCAAGCAGGGATTTTAAAACAGTCGAGCAGCGTTGCCGGGGGATGGTAATCTCTTCCCACGCCTGATCTATGGAACCAAAGTTTCTGCCAGAAGAGAATGTCTTGTGAGCTCTGGCCCTGTGCTCCCCTCTGCCCGATCGCATCCTTCCCACCAGGCTTTTCGCATCCCAAGTGAGGTGGCTTTTAGGAGGCGATTTGCAAATGTGCATGTGTCATTAAACACTGACGCTGCACTTTCTGGGGGCTTCCCAGGCAGCTGATTAACCCCCTGGCTCTCCCTGGGACGGGCAGATCAGTGTTCTCCCCTCACACACTGGGATGTGGTTGACTTTAAGTGTCAGAAACAGGAGGAGGAATCAGTCGCATCATGTTCTGCAGAACCCCAGCCAGGACCCGGCTGTCTGCAGATGGGCCGGAGGCCCCAGTCTGGGAATCCTGCGCTAGACCAGGCCTTTATGTCTAGGGCCGTGGCGTCCAACACGCTAGCCACTGTGGCCGTTTGGCCGGGTGACCAGGGCTAGCAGGTTCACACAATTATTGACGTGTTCAGAGTAATGGGGCTTGCTCGCTGTCGTGGCTATTGCTTCGGAACTGGCTGGACAGCCCGGTGCTAGATCCACGGCTAGCTGTATCGCCCGTGGCGAGAGGTGCGTGTGACGCGGGCCCTTCTCGGGCCCCGCCTAGGGAGCTTTGGAGACAGTCCAGTCCCGGTGGTGGTGAACATTTGCGTTCCCATGAGCTAGTGATCCCCCTTGATTATCCGTGTCCCCTCTCGATGCTGATTCTAGCCAGTGTGGGCCCTGCTGTCGGCAGCCCCGTTTCCCGACACGTTCTGTTGTTAGACCCTGGTTCCAGCTGCTTGTGTCTTTGCCGGGCTTCCGCTGCGTGGGCCGAAATTTCCCAGGGCTGCCTCAGCCTGAGCTTTTTGGGGAAGCTTTAGCCAGACCAGTTCAGCTGTTTGAGAGCCAGGGGATGGGTGGCGGGAGGGGAAAACGCCTTGCTTTGGCAGTCTGAAAAACATTCCTACAACCCTTTCACTGAGACACTCCAGCCTCCCTGGGCTTGGAGCAGGGCCAGTCTGGGAGCCAGGGAGGTGCCGTTTGCCATGCCAGGGCAGATCTGTCCAAACGTGGCCTCATGCAGCAGGACTTGCTCCCGGGACGGTGCTCGGGGGGCGGGGATTAGGAGGCTGTGACCCATCAGACGGGGCGGGAGTTAAAAGCATGTGGTGAAGGGAGCCGCTGAATGCCACCTGGACTCTGTCCCTGCTTTCTGGGAGCATCCCAGCTGAAGCCATCGGGAGCAGGACTTGAACATACCAAGCAGTGTGCAGTGCTAAACGCTCCGCCCCTCCGGCCCGAGGCAGCTCGTCTCGGGCACCCCACGTTAACGGCTCGTTTGGACAATTGTAGTTTAACCTCTGGAACGCTGGCCCCTATCTGTACAAGGAGGACGCCGCCTCGCCCCCGGGGAGGGGATAAATACATGGGCCGTCCGGGAAGCGCTCAGTCGCTGCAGTGAGGGTCACACAGGGAATTCCCGCTGCTTTCGGAGCCAGGCTTGCACAGTGCGGGGTGAGCGAGGGTGGGAGGGGATAACGTATTGAACGGGCCGGGTCCCTTCAGTGCCCAGAACCGGGCAGGGTCCTGGAACGTGTGAGACCCCGCATGCGCCCAAGGGGCTCCAGTCAGGGCGTGCGGCCTGTTGTTTGCGTTATGGGGTCTCCCTTTTCTCCAGGAGATGGGTCGGCACGATGACCTGTGGTCCCTCTTTTACATGCTAGTGGAGTTTGCGGTGGGCCAGCTCCCGTGGCGCAAGATCAAAGATAAGGTAGGCGCCACGGTCGCCTCTGGCCACTCCCCTTCCCTGCGCCTCAGCCTAGGCCGCTGGCTGCTGCAGGGCTCTTCGGCACGCCTTGGCCCGGGTCAAGCCTGCAGGCTGGTGGCCATAGGTCCCACTCGCCTCAGGGAACGCGCCGCCCGAACCGTTCACGCTGCCCGCACGTCCCGCCTCGCTGCGGCAGGGCCCGGAAAACTCCGAACCAAAGGCTGTGGAAATGCCCTGCCCCCGCAGCTCCTCCGGCTGGGTCCCAGCTCTGTCCGAGGGGTGAACGCTGGCCCGTAACGCCGCATAGGATTTTGGCCGCGCTTTAACACATGCACTGATCCCCCCACTCTTCCCCCCCGGTCCCAAATGTAGCGAGTGCCTCCCGGGGGGCTTCCGAGCTGGGTCCGCGAGAGTCCTTGTCGGCTGTTGCCGAGCACCTCAGGCCTGTCAGCGAACAGGCCTGCTGCCCCATCGTGGCTACAAGCACGTCTGTCCCGTGGTCCCTTCCCGCCAGCCAGCTTCCTCGGACGTGCTAAATCCGACTGAGCCTGCGGGAGTGAAACAGACCACCCGGTGTTCCGGGAAGAGCCAGCCCTCCTTCCAGGACTCTGTACTGACTTGGCCACTCCCAAAAGGAGCCTCTGGGGCCAAGCCACCTGCATGAGCAGACCAGCTGCACGTTGCTGGGGAGTCTGTGTGTGTAACCCGAGGCGGGCTCAGGCCGAGGGGCTAGGGGTGTGCTGCCAGGAGACAGGTGGTAGGAGCCGGTGTCTTTCTCTTTCTGCAGGAGCAAGTTGGCATGATCAAGGAGAAGTATGAGCATCGGATGCTGCTGAAACACATGCCGTCCGAGTTCCACCTCTTCCTGGATCACATTGCCAACCTGGACTACTTCACCAAGCCCGATTACCAGGTAAGAGTCGGGCCTGGCGCAGAACTCTGGGAAGGGCTGCTTTGATTTCGCGGGTGGAGAGGCCGTTCCTGTGAGGCTGGCGAGGGGGAGGGCCATAGGGCGGACCCTTCTGAGTCCTTTCTCCCCCGACGCTGGGGCCGACAGCCCCCTCACCATGAACCTTGCTGGCGTGAGAGCTGTTTGAACGGTGTCAGCAGCCTGTCAACGTCGATTAAAACAGCCCTCCTGCATGGTGTAGTTACAGGCAGGGGCCAAAGGATCAGGCCATGGCGGGGGGGCTAATCAACCTGGAACTCACCCTCTTGGAAAGTCCAGGTTCTGTTCCCCGGGGAGCTGTGTCTGAGCCAAGCATGTTCCATCTCTGCTGCAGGGGCTGGCTGCTCTGTAAACGTGTTTGCCTTCGGAGCCCCGCGGGTCCTGCCTGCTCGGTCAGGCTGGGGCGGGTCTCCAGGAGCGCTGAAATCCAGGCTGCAGGGACGCAGCGGCAAACCTGCCACCGGGTTTAATCAGAGCAAGATGGAAATGGAGCACACATTGTCTGTCTAGCTTTCAAGGCGCGGGGGAAGCATTGGCTGATGCTCTCTCTAGTGTTTCCTTTCTATTCTTGGCACTGCTTTTCGAAAGGAAGGGAAAACTGATCTGCCACTTCGGCCTTGGCTGGGGTGGGCCAGGTCCCGTGATGTCCGCAGTTTCTGTTGCCCATAGCCGGGGCAGAGTTAAGGGGATGTGGTTGCACTGTGCAGAGAGATGGTTGGAGGCTGCCCTTTCTCCTGGCCAATGCTCCCCATCAGGGTAGAATTGCTACTGGGTCTGCTCCGGCTGGGAGCTGTGAACCTCCGAAAGGGATGTGGACGTTATTGGAGGTGTTTGTGCGGCGGCGGTTTCCGATCTGTATGAAATAGCCACGGCCTGCAATGCTTTTGTAATGAAATCAGATCAAAATAAAATAGTATATCTTGACTAGTCTGGCGTGTTACCATGTGACACTTGCGCGACTGCCGACGTCATGAAACGATGTACAAATTGTGAAATAAAAATGAAAAATGTTAACCATTTGGTTGGAAACAACATTTTAAATTTTTTTCCTGCGATTAAACTGTCCGAATGGAATTAATTTAGAATTTCCATTTCACGGGAAATTGTTTAAAAAAACTAAAGCAATCTAAACTAAAGCAAATCTCGACAGGCCAGGCGTCCCCGTGGCGTGGAAATTGTGCATCTGGACAAGCAGACCCCATGCCTCCCTCCCTGTTGCTCTGTTCCCTCTTGCAGCTGATCATGTCGGTGTTTGAGAACAGCATGAAGGAACGCGGCATTACCGAGAACGAGGCCTTTGACTGGGAGAAAGCAGGAACAGACATTTTATTGTCCACCAGCACCTCCACGCCGCCGCAGCAGAACACCAGGCAGACAGCAGCCATGTTTGGGTGAGTGTGATGCTCACACCTACCACGCTGAGAGGGGCGCAGGCCAGGGCTGCCCTGGGCAGTGGGTTAGGTACAGAAGCGTTCGTTCGTTTGGCCGTAGGAGCGAAGTGTGCAGAACACCGTGCGCCCGAGTCACTGGGCCGCAGTTGGATCCTGCGCATTCCGTGATCTACTGGGAACGGTCCCCTGATTGCGCCATTACATGGCGGGGGGGAGGGGAAGTGACGTGTTGCGTGGCACTAACTGTTGTGTCAGGGTACGTTCCATGAGCCCTGTGCTTGCTTGCGGGGTTCACGTGCCAGGGCATATTACATGGTGCCTGGTGCTTGCCGACGGACACAGTCCCTAGCTCTTGCTAGCAAGGTCTGGGTGCCACTGCACATTGCACTGTCCCTGGTGCTTGCCGGCAGGCTCCACGTGCCATAGCATGTTACACGTGCCTGCTGCTCACTGGTGGGGTCCTTGTGTTTGCTGGGGAGGGCCACGTGCCACGTCATGTCGCACATCTCTGGTGTTCACCAGCGGGGTCCGTGCGCTGACACTCTGTGGTATCTGGCTTTTTCCACTGGGGTCCGTTGCACTTTCGCAAAGTGCGGTTTAAATATTTCAAAATGGCCTGGTGGAAAGACTCATCCAACGGGAGATTTGAAAAGATTAGGACTGCCCATCTTAGGCCTGGTCTACATTAAACAGAAGATTGCCGCTGCCACAATCGATCTTCCAGCGTTCGATTTAGCAAGTCTAGTTAAGACCTGCTAAATCAAACTCAGAGGACACCCTCACTGGCACCTGGTATGCCTCTTTTGGCGAGGAGTATGGGAAGCGGATGGGAGCATTTGCTCCTGTCGGCCTCCTGCTGTGGGGACGCCGCTGAGCTCGTGGCTGGAGTTGCTGACTTTAATCTGAGCTGCTGGGTCTAATGTAGACCTGTCCTGAGAGAGGTGGTGGACTGGAGGGGCGGAGACAGGAGCTGATAGCACAAGGAAGGGCTTGGGAACGGGAGAGCGGGACACGGCCTCACAGCATTAGGGGGAGGCTCAGTCAGTGACACTGAACGGTGGAAATCGATGGCAGACAAAAGGAAACGGTTTTTCACACGTGTGATTAGCCTCCAACTCCTCGGCACAGGAAGTCGCTGAGACTGAGAGCCTGTCGGGGCGAAGAGATAGGATCTTTGTGCGGGCAGCAAGAATAGCTTTGGGGTTCTAGCAGCGAGTGCTAACGCTTTCAGAGAAGGATATTACAGTGTGCCGGGGTTTACACCGGTCTCTCCCTGCTAGAGATCAGGGTAAAAGCCAACGTGGGCGAGGTTAACCGACCTCTGCCTGAGCGGGGTTCCTTCCCCTCCCGCTGGATCATGGGTAGCGACCCTGGCCCGAGGCAGGAGGCCAGCCCGAGCCAGCGCTGTCTGATACTGGCTTTCGCCGTGTCGGTGCTTCTGAGAGTCCTGCCGTAACCGGATGCCGAGCACGTGCTCCGTCCCACTGGGCAGGGTAAGGTTGATGGAGCCCCACTGGCGTGGGCTCTTCCCAGGCTGTTTCCTAATCGTCCATTCTGAGCCCCCCCCGCACCTTCTGTGAAGCAGGAGTTTGGAGCCTGGGGGTTATGACCCCCCCAGGGGTCAGGCCCGGAGGGGCACCCTTCTTTTGAGCGTAACCGGATGCCGAGCACGTGCTCCGTCCCACTGGGCAGGGTAAGGTTGATGGAGCCCCACTGGCGTGGGCTCTTCCCAGGCTGTTTCCTAATCGTCCATTCTGAGCCCCCCCCGCACCTTCTGTGAAGCAGGAGTTTGGAGCCTGGGGGTTATGACCCCCCCAGGGGTCAGGCCCGGAGGGGCACCCTTCTTTTGAGGCTAGCGGAAGTGAGGTCCGTGAGCTTGTGGCGTGGTGTGCTGGCCAGGAAAGGCTGCAATCCGGGGTACTGGGGCCGGTCCTCGGAGGAGGACGTGGGCCCCGCTCTGTGCGCTCACAGCTGTGTTGTGTTGTCCCCTGCAGGGTGGTTAACATCACTCCCGTCCCGGGGGATTTGCTGCGTGAGAACACTGAGGATGTGCTGCAGGGGGAGCACTTGAGTGACCAAGAGAACGCTCCTCCCATCCTGCCGGGCCGGCAAGTGGAAGGGCTGGGCCAGGCGCCAAACGTTGCCTTCAACGAGACCGAGGTTTGGGAAGAGACGGACGTGAACCGCAACAAGCTCAGGATCAGCATCAGCAAAGTAAGGAACCCGGCTCTTGTTCGGCAGCAAGACGTGTGGGCCCAAGTCAGGGCATAGATTTAAAGCCAGAAGGGACCATCTGGTCTGACCTCTTGTGCAACGCAGGCTAGAGAACCACCCCAGCGACTGCTGCACTCGGGGAATCGTTTCCCCCGGCTGCATAAGAAGGGCCATACTGAGACAGGCCAAAGGGCCATCTATTCCTTCAGCCCACAGTGGCCAATGCCAGATGCCCCAGAGGGAATGAACAGAACAGGGAATCATTAAGTGATCCCTCCCCTCGCTCCCATTCCCAGCTTCTGACAGAAGCTAGGGACACCATTCTACCCACCCTGGCTAACAAGTATTGATGGACCTATCCTCCATGAGTTTATCTAGTTCTTTTTTGAACCCTGTTAAAGGACTGGTCTTCCCAACATCCTCTGGCAAGGAGTTCCACAGGTTGACAAAACAAAATACTTCCTTTTGTTTGTTTTTAACCTGTTGATTTCATTTGACGACCTCTAGTTCTTGTGAACAAGTGAATAACTTTTCCTTAGTTACTTTCTCCACACCAGCCATGTTTTTGTAAGTGACGAGTGATGCTATCTAGTCCAAACAGTGGTCGTTAAACTAAGGTGTGTCTCTGAGACAGCCTACCTCAGGATAAAGACTCCAAGGAGTGGAAGATTTGCCCCACCCCAAGCTGCTCTGGTATGAGAAATCTTCCCACGTGGGTATTTATAAACCATGATCCAGTCACCTGTTACTCTTCTCAAGTGAGCTAATAGATTGAGCTCCGTACGTCTCTCAGTGCTAGGCAGGTTTTCCATGGCTCAAATCATCTGGGAGCTCTTCCCTGAATTGCTCTTCAAATTGTTCAGCATCCTCTGTGAAGTGTGGAGACCAGAACGGGACACAGTACCTGGCAATGGTCCCACCGGTGACTTGCACCGACGTGTCACTTCTGCTCGGGTTCCTGTGGAGACAGCCACGGATCACGTTAGCCTTTTGCCAGAGCATTCGGAGCCTCTGTTCACTGGCTTTCCCCTGCATTCCATCAGTTTTGAATTGCGGCTTTCCCAGAGCGAGACTCAGTCCAGTAGTGGTGGCCTGCATTCCTTGCTCCAGATGAATGACCTTGAATTTGTCTGTTAAAAAACCCCTTTTGCTAGATTGCTGCCCTCTTTGTGTCGATGACCTGTTCCCATGGGGATTTACCAACCCACCAATCCCTTGTCATCTCTTGATCACCAAGACTTTTATATTTTCTTCCAGATCATTGATAGAAAGGCCAAATAATTTGGACCAAGAACCAGTTCCTGCAGGACCCCCTCTAGAAACCCTCTGCTCGGACGATGATCCCACACGAACAGTTAGGTTTGAGATCTGTCAGCCCGTCTGTGACCCATTTCCTACTGAGTTTTTGTGGTAATTTTTGAATGGGCATTGAAATACTTACAATGTCCAAGTATATAACATCAGCATGTTATCTTTATCAACCGAACTTGTGATCCCGTCCAAGTATGATGCCGAGTTCGTTTGACAAGCCCTATTTGCCATAGAAGCATGTTCATTGACGTGGATTATATTCCCATCCTTTAGATCTTCCTGGATTGAAACTCGTATCCGCCTTGTCATGGCTCTGACTGGAATCAGTAGCAGACTAACCACTCTGTTGCTATCTCACTGCCTTTTAAAGACTGGCACTGTATTAACTTTTTTCCAGGCCTCTGGTGCTACTTAGTATTCCAGAACGTCTTAAAAATTAACATCACTAGTTTGGAAAACATCTCGGCCAACTCCTTTAAAACTCTTGAATGCATACATTGGCCTGTTCCCTGTAGAGACTGGTGAGTAGCAGGCACTGGATCATACACTACCATTTGGGAAGCCTTGTTTCCATCATGTCTTATGTCTTAATTACGGGAACCACGTTCCACAAAAATCTGCCACTCTTGGTTCCAAATGTCACCTCTGCTTTTTCTGTTCTTGAAAGCCACCAAATACACTACAGCTTCTCAGCCAGGTCTGACTGGCTCCTGGAGTCTTCCGGAGCAGAAACCCCACTTGGTGGTTTTCCTTGCGGGTGCTCGTATTGGTTCATGCAGAAGTTACTCACGTAGCTAGGGTCTGAGCAAGTGCTGCTGCCATAGACGTTCTTCCCAATGGGTTCTTTTGCTTGGTCTCTGTGCCCCTCCGCCGGCTGGTCCGTACGAGGCACTGGGCCTGGAAACTCAGCTCCCCCATCACGTCGGTCTGATTTCCTTCAGACGCGGATGTGAGTTACAGCCAGAGCCCGCGTGTCAAAGGGGCGTTCGGCCCCCTTTCTGCACAGCAACAGTACGTCCTGCCGGTGTGGAACGCCAGGCCGCTACTGAGCCAGGCCGAGAGGTTCCCCCGCACCCCCAGAGGAGAAAGGCCGCTATGGGGCGATGGTCTCACCGGGGGCCCTTCCGTCAGAGAGAGCCCTTGTTCCTTGCAGTGTGCTGGAGAAGCAGCTGAGGCCTCCTGCAGGAGCTGAGCAATTCTCTACAATACAACAGGAATTGCAGCTGCGTGAGTGCTTGTCATCCTGCTGCAGGAGGCTCCGGGCTCCCCTCTCTCTGCTGGAGGCGGCAGCGAAACGTTCCGTGGTATCAGACAGAGGACACACAGAGGTCAGCGCGTGAGACCCGGGCAGGAGGAGCGGCTGGCGCTCTGTAGGAATCAGCCTCCAGCTGCATCGCTGCCTCCTGGCTCAGTCCCAGCTTCCTGCGCTGCTCCATCTCCAGGCAGAGTGCGGTGGCAGTGTAGAAAGCTCTCCTTTCTCCCCGGCTCTCCCGCGCCACGGGTCACAGTGCCACGGTCCTCCTGGTCTCCTGCCCTGCGGTCTGGGGCTGCTCCTTTCTCCACGGCTCTCCCACGCCACGGGTCACAGTGCCACGGTCCTCCTGGTCTCCTGCCCTGCGGTCTGGGGCTGCTCCTTTCTCCACGGCTCTCCCACGCCACGGGTCACAGTGCCACGGTCCTCCTGGTCTCCTGCCCTGCGGTCTGGGGCTGCTCCTTTCTCCACGGCTCTCCCACGCCACGGGTCACAGTGCCACGGTCCTCCTGGTCTCCTGCCCTGCGGTCTGGGGCTGCTCCTTTCTCCACGGCTCTCCCACGCCACGGGTCACAGTGCCACGGTCCTCCTGGTCTCCTGCCCTGCGGTCTGGGGCTGCTCCTTTCTCCACGGCTCTCCCACGCCACGGGTCACAGTGCCACGGTCCTCCTGGTCTCCTGCCCTGCGGTCTGGGGCTGCTCCTTTCTCCACGGCTCTCCCACGCCACGGGTCACAGTGCCACGGTCCTCCTGGTCTCCTGCCCTGCGGTCTGGGGCTGCTCCTTTCTCCACGGCTCTCCCACGCCACGGGTCACAGTGCCACGGTCCTCCTGGTCTCCTGCCCTGCGGTCTGGGGCTGCTCCTTTCTCCACGGCTCTCCCACGCCACGGGTCACAGTGCCACGGTCCTCCTGGTCTCCTGCCCTGCGGTCTGGGGCTGCTCCTTTCTCCACGGCTCTCCCACGCCACGGGTCACAGTGCCACGGTCCTCCTGGTCTCCTGCCCTGCGGTCTGGGGCTGCTCCTTTCTCCACGGCTCTCCCACGCCACGGGTCACAGTGCCACGGTCCTCCTGGTCTCCTGCCCTGCGGTCTGGGGCTGCTCCTTTCTCCACGGCTCTCCCACGCCACGGGTCACAGTGCCACGGTCCTCCTGGTCTCCTGCCCTGCGGTCTGGGGCTGCTCCTTTCTCCACGGCTCTCCCACGCCACGGGTCACAGTGCCACGGTCCTCCTGGTCTCCTGCCCTGCGGTCTGGGGCTGCTCCTTTCTCCACGGCTCTCCCGTGCAACGGGTTACAGCGCCACGGTCCTCCTGGACCCCTGCCCTGTGGCCCTGAGGCCTCTCTTTTCTCCACGGCTCTCCCGCACCACAGTCCTCCTGGGTCCCTGCCCTGCAGCCCCGGAGCCACTCCTTTCTCCACGGCTCTCCTGCGCCACGGGTTACAGCACCACGGTTCTCCTGGACCCCTGCCCTGCAGCTCCGAGGCTGCTCCTTGCTCCACAGCTCTCCCGTGCCACGGCTCACAACTCCACAGTCCTCTTGGACCCCTGCCCCGCAGCCCTGGGGCTGCTCCGACTCCCCACTCTTGTCCCACCCATTCAGGCAGCATCCAGACCTCCCCAGTGTTCTCCACGTGTCACATCCCTCCTGTGTCTCAGGCTCCCAGCCAGGCCTGCTCCAGCTCCCCCCTTCCCCACTGCAACCACCTGCCTCTGGCTTCCCTGTTCCAGTCCATGGAGAAACCTGGGCTGAGAGCTGCCTTCCCAGTGGCTGTTACTCCAGCCAAAGGGCCGCTGGCCGCCTGTTCTCTGCTACATCAGGCTCCTTGGCCTCTGGCCCTTCTCCACTCTCCCCGTTCTGCGTATCTGCTCGTGCGCCTTCTCCAGGGGCCCACCTGCTGCTCGTGCTCCGCCTCTCGCACAAACACCCTCTCGCCTTCGTCCTCGCCACCCCTCGTGCGGAGAGCAGCCTCTGGCCCCCGGCCCTCCCCTCCAGACCCGCTTCTCCGGGGGTCGTGCGGGGAATCGCCCGCTGCTCCGGGCAGAGGCTCGGCGCGGTTCATTGTGTAGCTGTTCGTTTCACACTTGATCCAACTGATTTCCGTCCCCTGGCGTACGTCCGGGCGCAGACCCGCCCTGCACGCAGTGTGTCTAGGGCAGCCAGCTTTCTGGAACACCCTGTCGAAAAGGGACCCTGGTGGCTCCAGTCAGCTCCACCCACCAGGCCATTAAGTCAGGTCAGCGTGCAGCAGGGAGCCAGGGCTAAGGCCGGCTCCCTACCTGGGAGGTCCCTGGGGAGGCTCTGTGCACGGCCCCTGCCCTGAGTGCTGGCTCTGTGGCTCCCAGTGGCCAGGGACCG